TAAAAAAAAAAAAAAAAAAAAACAAGAAAACAAAGTCCTCGTCGAGACGCAGACACGAAGGGTCGCGCGAACGCCCTTTCGAACCGGTGAAATCGCACAAGTATCCGGGAAGCGAGGTCCGTTGCGCCACTTGACGCAGTAAGACCGCACTTGCTGCGCCACTTTCTATTCTGACCCAAGCGATTCTTAAGTCGATTTAATGCCGATGCCATTTCCATTTCATTTCGCTATCGTTTCTCAAGGCCCGATTATTGGCCCGTAATTATTCGGCTACATCTGCAATTCTCCGTGCCGATTCTTCTTCTTCGCCCTAACTCTAACGAGCCTCCACAGGTCTCTGTTCGCAGAAAGAAGTATATCTAGGAGTGCATTGATATGACATTTTTCATAATTGCCGCTGCAATTGTTCAAAGTTCAAAGTTGAGAGAGACGATATGCCCCAGGAGTGGTGTCAGCTGCCATCTATCGAGATAGATGGGTGTGGCCTGGCAAGGGAAGACCGACAGCAGCCACACGCGGCATTATTTTCTCGAAGCCTCGGGCAGTGTACTTCGTCTTGCCTACGTTCTCCGTGTTGCCTCGACGAAACTAGGATTAGCATTGGGACCTACATCGACATCTCGCGCGGGCCACTGACACGCATATGACCTGAAAATCAACGTGGCGGAAGATTTGAATTTCAAATTTCTTTCCCGGACCGTAATAACTTTGGAATGTAACGGAGCTTCCTTCTTCTTCTTCTTCTTCCTCTCCTTCTTCTTCTTCTTCTTCTTCTTCTTCTTCTTTCTTTTATTTCTCCTTCTCCTGCCGCTGTTTCGCTTTTTCTTTGTACCTCGAAAAGAGTGAGGGCTCGACACTTCCGATGCTTTTCAGCTTCCAGGATCTCCGTATCACGATCGATCTTACGGAAACGCAACACAGTAATGGGAAAGAAGGGCTATTCGCACTGAAATACTTTACATAAAATAGTTTTTAATTTTTAATACCTAACACTGGATTTCCTACTTTCGGAAAATCTTTTGCTGTTATTAATTCGAAAAGAATTTTGAATGTCGTATAAGCAGAAGAAGGATATCGCCATCTGCTGCGTTTCACATGCAACTCTTTCCGTTTTATAACACTTGAAAAGGAAAAAAAAAAAGGAATCGTTTGCCTATGTGTTGCCTGTCACAATAATATTCATGACAAGTACGACTGTTGGTGTCCTAAGTTTCGTAGAGGCAGAGGCAATGGCAATGGCAATGGCAATGGCAATGACAATGATAGTGGCAGTGGCAGTAGCAGTGGCAACGTGGCATTATGGCAATAGCGTAGAGGCGAATGTGTGCCACTGGGTCTCGCGGTCTCACAATCGTGCTCGGCAGTGGGATCAGAAAGTCCCCCTCCTTTCCGCCCTGTTACGGGTTCACTCAGCCTCCCCTCTTTCTCTTTCTCTAGAGTCCCCCCACCACTGGCATTATCTGACTCTCCTCTAGTCTCAACGCCCGCGACTCTTGCCTCTGAGGCCACTCACCTTGTTCTCTTCCACTTAGAGACCGTGCGATCGGCTTGGCCTGTTATTCTTCGTTTTTTTTTTTTTATAAAATAATCTATCGACATCGGCTGTACGAGAAAGGGTAGTCTCAGAATCTAGTGTCGAATGTTAAACTTTTAGTAGGATAAAGATTCAGTCTAGAATTTCTTAACCCTTCCTAAAGCCATATTATTATCAACCAGACTCTCAAAAACGTGAAAATGTCCAAAATACATTGTTTATCTGAAACTCACTTTAACTATAACGATAGTAACGATTAAGGAACAAATATAAATAAAATAGGTACAGATCATAGGAAGTTCGATCTTCATTTTCTTGGCTTTATAGCGTTGCGGTTTACTCATGTTGGAGATGCATAGGATAGACAAGGGTCAAAAGGCTAATACACGTACCATGGAGAGCCGAGTAAAATTAATATATATGAATATAATTTTATAATTTATCTATATTTATTGTCATTGATATAAAGATTGTAAAGTATACAATGTACGTACATACACATAAATAACAAAAGATGAAGGTGGGTTAGATCTGTGGGTACCTGTGGGATGCGAGGGTAACTGATAATGTGGAATCGATAAATGCTTTTTACTAAGTAAAAATTGCTTGGTATAATAAAGGATGACGCCGAGCTATAGGTAAAATAAGATGACGAGTATATGGTT